TTAGAAAACTAACTCTATTATGCATTAATCTAAAAAGCATATGTGAAATAGGGAAAAATGAGAGCCAAGTGAAACAAAAAGAAATCACCGGCTCATCACAACAGAGCGCGCTAAGCGCCAAAACACACATTAAGCGCGCTACACCAGTAATAGAAAAAATAGGACAACAACACGCAGTCCTAAAGAAACCTCCATAATCACCTACACTACTCTCATTTACACATCTAAACAGCATTTACAACACATACACACTTCAACAAGCTAAACACGACAAACTTGGGGAAAACCACAAAGAATAACAACATAAAGTAACTAATATAAACATACTAAAAGAATGGGTGAAATTGATTAAACAAGTTGTAAAGTGAAGATTTGAGAATTTTATGAACAATCCGAGTACAACTTGTTTAAGAAAAATAAGATCATGCCTTTTATTTCCAACTCTGTAGAAACTTGTTTCAAATTTCTGATGAATGGTTTCTTACTACTTGATCCTGATTATGTGATTATGGAAAGTAATGGTAAGGATTGGGTGGGAGATCTTTGTGATGGTTTTCCTTTAGAGAATAATAATAACTTGTAGAGGTAATGGAGGTAATCCTCCTGGGCTACATCAGGCATAATTTACTTTGGTCAATAAAAACGGTATGGGGAGACATAAACTTACTCAACCTAGAATGAAAATCAAGATCCAATCAACATCGGGTAAACACAACACCACTTAATGAAGTAATTTATTAAATGCTAAAGAAGTAGGAAACCTCGATAATAGGTTGACTATTAAAAGTCTTTGTCATCAACAAAAGGCTAACTATAGATGATTTCAAATGCCCCAATGAAGTCTCGTATGTTGGAAGATATTTGAGAGGCGACGACTTTAATAGTCTTAAAGACCTTTGACTTTAGCACTATAAAAGGAATTAGTACCCCTAAGTCATAGATAATAAGGAGATTCATAAAGAAGAAGTCACCCTTAGAGTCACTAGGGGCTTCCATGTTAACCCTTAATCTTCATAATAGGGTTCTATCATGGCATATTTTCATCTCTCGAGCCATACAGATTTATGCTTTTACGAAAGGAAATCACCATCTCCTAAGTTGTATAAAGGGTTTCAAAGTCTTTGACTCCAAAACGCTTTGAAAAACTAGCCTTCATCACTGACTTTGTTTTTCTTTGGAAAAAATAGGGTAAAATGGGGTCACTATTACTACTAAAATCAGAATTGTTATCGTAACTGCCAAACCTTCCTAATTTTACAAGGTTGTAATCAACCATCCCATCCAAACGCCTTACATTCCTTATAAAGTGTCTCCATATCTCCCCAATTCCCTCGCGGGTAGAAGGTTGAATGATGTTTTTATTTTCATTTAAATTTTCAATAATCTCCAATGCCAAAAATGGAGAAGATAAATGAGAAGAATAATTCAATACCTGAGTATGTGGGTTGATGATGATGGTAGATCTGAACTTGAAGAAGAAGAGTTCCTTGGAGGAATGTAGAGTGTATATATGGAGATAAAAGTGGGAATAACGATTTAAACTTGTGCATTTATAACGAAAAATATCTAAGCCAAGTAGGTCATCATTACCAGACAATAGGTTTGCACCTATTAGCGGGTAGAAGAGCATCCATGGCCCAGATTTCACGCATGCAATTTAATTAGAGGCTCACAACATAGACGCCATCCCAAGACAAACTCATTATAACAAAACATTAAATGATTCATTTGTTCCCCGCGCTTGAGGAACTTGCCCTTCAAGCCTCGTTTGAGGGTCTCACCCTTCAAGCCCCGCTTGAGAGACTCGTTTCTCCAACTCTCACCCATAAAAGGATTATCTTTCATCTATCTTAAATCATTATTCCCTTCCTAAGCTTTGTGTTTGAGGGATTTTTGACTAAGATAACTTTGACCGGGCCCAGGAAGGGACCAACTCTAACTCAATCAGTCCAAGAACGTTGTAAGAAATTTTGTTGAAGCGGTAAAGCGCAAGCAAAAAGTAAAGTATTAATTTTACCGAGTGATATTTAGGTTATATCATATCGTGTCTATATAGATTGATTATCGATCCGTCGTTCGATAAATCATTCGTTAATGAGTTTTTGGGAAAAATGGGTTGTATGTAAGGAAAGGGAAAAAGTTACCAACAGAAAATAAATTCACTCTTCCAAGGATTAACTTATCAAACATGCATATAATCCACTCCTCACGGACTTAAACCTATCGACCAGTTATACTCGACCTACAATACTCGTCTATGTCATCACGTGTCAAACACAACACCCACTGTATCACCTCAGTAGCGATCTCAATCACCTCAACAATACAGAAGTCAATTGTGCCACTCGTGTTAACGATCTCTCAGCCAACACAACCAACACAAAGGCATTAATCGCAGACACCCTAAGTGAATAATAGCACTAAATCTATCTCTAGAATCTAGACACTATTAGACAATCATCCTAGATAAAAATCCGAGCAATATATGTCTATAATAACCCAAATCCCTAGCACAGAGAAAAAATCAAGGATAACAATCCACAAAGATTTGTAAAGCAAATTAAATATAACACCATGGGCGACAAATATACATAAGATCAAAGTAAATACATATACAAACTCAACATACAAAGAATGCACAAAGAAGAAGACAAGTGAACCACAAATATCCCGGTTTGTCAGCGTCGATCGAAGAAAAATCTACCCTGGATAATCCGTATGCAAGCTTCAATGTTGTTTTATAAGCTAACCATAGAGAAAAATGAGGGTTGATGGAGTCGGGAGCAAAAAATATCCCCAAAACCATAACCAAACAAAATGAAATGAAAAATGAAATATAAAGAATTTATGTTCCGCACGTGTCGCCTGGCGACGGTTCCTAAATACAAGGCCTATGTTGCGCCACGTACGCAACTGGCCACAAATATCTTCCCTCGCCCGACGAAGGGAAGCTTCCCCGGGCGACACAACGCTTCCTCGCCCAGCGAGCTACTAGCGAGCCCAAGTCAGTGGCTACTGGAAAATTCATCCTTTCCTCTCTCCCCTCCGTCGCTCGGCGAGGCAGACCCGAAGACACCTCGCCAGGCTTCGCCCGACGAGACACACCAGAACAATAACTTTTGTTGCTCTTTCTACATAACTCCAATGGCTTCCTTTCTTTTTCTTGTTCCTTTATTGATCCAACAATGCATCTTGGAGCTTTTATTCCTCTTACTCCAACAATGCTCAAATACCTACAAAATGAATGGAAAAACATCAAACGATACATTGTGTACACAAAAACACAAATAAACACAAACTAAACGAATTTATACACAAAGTTGAGTTATTCAATAGATATTAACAACAAATAGTCGATAAGTACAACAAAAAGTATATACAAAAATAACTACAATTTACACTTATTAAAGAGGTCAGAGAATAAATTGCATGGACGTGACATGGCGGGTCATGAGATCATCCAACCTGAACTAGCCCATTTGAGACATGGGAGCTCGCTCCAAATCGGGATTATTGAGTTATGACACCATTAGTACGTGACATACCACATATTCTTGTGAAATGATCGTTATTGCTCCTTCTCCAAGGAAGAAATTGTCTCTCCTAATAATAGGGAAGAACTTAATCTTCCTATTTTCACTCTCTAGCCAAACAGTAGGAATGAAACCGATTCTCCACCCATAACTTAGCTCAAGAATTAGATCTATAAATATGTAAACTCTTACGGTTGAGAGAGGTCATTCACTTTGCAATTAGATCTATTTTATTTATTGTATTTGTCACAAATACACGTTCTTATTGCAAGAAATATACAGGGGGTTTTAAATTTAGAAATAAATCCTACATAAATAAAATGGTGAGATTCACATAATTTTTTATCTAATTAAAAAAAATTATGTTAAAAGAGAGTGTTAAAAAGTATGGGTGTTCAAATCTAAATCAATTCAAATAAAAACTGTAAATCGATCTAAAAAATCGAAAACCGCAAAAAAAATGAAATTTATTGTATATATTTGGATATCATTTTGTGAAAATAGCTCGGTTCAGATCGAATTTCAGATTGATTTTTCAAAACCGATTCAAACCGAACCGAACCACATGTATATATTTTTATACTTATTTATTTTTTATTAGTATGATATGTTACCTGAATTTATTATTAGATGATAATTATTTTTTTAATAATATTTATTAGCTTGTTTTAATCTATTTATTTTTATTATTTCAACTATAATCGATCACTCTCATTTTATAATATTAACTTTTAATATACTATATGATATATATTATATCAAACTTATGTTTTATAAAAAAAATTATAATACTAGTAAAAATATAATTTATAATTTAAATATTTAAAAACTGATCTAAATTAAACCGCATTAAATTAGATCGGATCGATTTTTTTAAAATATCATTCAAAATCGAACTGCAAATAAATTTATCTTTGAATCGGATAAATTTTCACTATAAAATCGATCTAAACCGAATCGCGCACACCCCAGTTAAAAAAGTGAGTGTGTCTCGTTTCATGTATGTTAGCATATAATTAACATTATTTTTACACATTAACATGTTGGCTTTTTCTTATATTAGTTTTGATCAGATTTTCATTCAACATTTCTCATAATCTAAGCCAAACATGCAATTATATTAGTAATCAATGCTCTTCTTTTTTTTCTCTTTCTAATATTATTAAGTGTTGTCAATTTTTTAGTGTTTGTCTTGACCAAAAAACAAAAATGAGTGTTTTCTTCAAATAAATACTTCAGAGTGTACTTTGAAAAGAACCAAAGCTGACAACTTCAGGCTTGTACCAATGAAACAATTGACTTGTCATGCAAAAGCCCATCAAACACCAAATTCAAGAGTGTTGGGTCTTGTTTTTCAGATTGTTACCAATGTGTACTTGTAGGCAACAATATGTTGGTTTTTATCTGCTTAAGCAACAATTGGAATGTATTAATATTTCTAACCAATGAAACTTCATTTTACATGAATTACTCTAAAATGAAACTCATGCTAAAGCAGTGAGAATATATAAGCACCGACACCTCAAATTTGACCTTGACACTGACGGTGACACCGATAATAATTTGAAAAAATAAATGGACACGGACAAGAACATATTTTTTTTCAAAGGTGTGGGTGCTACATGAGTGAGAATCTAAACAGTCATTGTAGCTGAAAGAAAAGTGTGTAAAACAACAAGCCTCTGATATATGCCAAGCCTTCTGTTCAAGACTAATAAATGATATTTGTAATTTTCTGGAAAAGAATCTTTTGTACAATATGACAAGGACCATTCAATTGTTCACATTAGGGGAGAAATCATTTAACAACTTTATTTTAAGGAAGCACTAATAATTCAGAGTTCGGCCGAAAGATAAGTAAAATCTCGTTAATACCGGTTTCGGCCGGTATTCAACGAAATAACTCTTTTTCTTTCCGAACAAGCAACATTTACACACTAAAAACATTCACAGTTAAGATAACTATTGCACTTGTGGAATTCCCCCATAAACAATTGTTAAAATCAGTTTTCTTCGCTACCCATTTCCCAAAACAATCTTGAACTTCTCAAGCACACATTTTCCTTCTTTATATTTCTGTGTTTCCTCATAAGCTTTAATGTATTTCCAACCAAGTTCTTCTCCACAATCAGAACAATAAACATCAGCAACTGTGTGAAGACCAGTCATAAGGTTTCTATCTTCTTTCGCTCCCAAAAAAATGTTCATCGCGTGAGAAAACAGAAAAGCTCTTCCATTGCTTGCCTGTTAAACATAACTTTTGAAAATCTTTGGTTAAAAAATTGACCCTAGTTATCTCACCTTCCGTCGAGAGACAAGTAAAGTCTGACTAATGATTGTTTTAGTTATGATCTAACTCAAATGGTTCTGATATGGCCTTAAGACAGACTTGGTATATGGCGTCCACTAACGAGGAGCCATTTAAAGCCAGAGTTCTGTCCACCAATCCCACCGTTCACTAGCGGGGAGCCATTTAAAGCCAGAGTTCTATATGGACTGACCCAACAAACCAAACTTTGTTAGCATCTAGCGGGATCTGAACCTGAGACCTTGAGAAGAACACAGTCTCAAACTTTCACTAACAAGCCACCCTTGGGAGTTGATTCGAGGTTAGTTGAGGTTTATTAATCCCAATTTATGATACATGAATTGAAATGAAATGATTCCCTTTACACAATTGAAATAAATTTCATGAACAAGGATCATATTTGAAAACCTTTCAACATTTATTTAGGTTTGATTATATAAATCAAAATCCTATTCTAAACCATTTTCAATATAGAAATCTACCATAAACATGAAAAAAAACCAAAAAGTTTCAAGAAAAAGTTCACCTGAAAATCTTTAGAAACAATATCATCATGAAAAGCAACAAGGTTCTGGCACTTGAAGCAGCAGTAAGCCCGTGATCCCATCAAATCCGCCATTAATAAAATCTTCCAAACTCTCCCACCTTACCTACTCATTATATCACATAAAAATTGATTAAAAAAACTTGGTCAAAAGTCTCTAGTACACAGTGATGACAAAACACTAGAAAACAATTGATAATTGTTTGTGATTTGTTAAATAGGGTTTAAGAATTAAGATATGCTTTGAATCAATCAATGAAAAAATAATAATTTGAAGCAAAGAATATGATTGAGTAAACAAGATTCCAAAAGGGTTGATTAGGATGGGATTATAAAAAGTTAGGCAAGAAAATGATGCAATTTTTTTTATATGTTGCTTGAAAAGAAGGGTTTTCCTTTTTTGATTCAATGGATAGATAATAAACAAACAAATATAAAGATTCTACTAGATTGGAGAAATTTTATTGATTGGTTAAAGATGGAGTGAAAGTGAAACATACCTTTGCCCTTTTGGGTTTGTTGTGTGTGAGGTTTTGTTGGTTTATGAGCTTTGAATTAAGTGATAACTTTATATGCAATTTTGTTGGGAGTTTAGAGAAAATATATGGGTTTTTAGGGGTTGAAAGAGAATTTTCTATTTTGATTTTTATTTACAAAATTGCCACAAAGTTATTATGTTTTTTAAGATGGTAAAAATGCATGTCCGTCTTCTTTAGACGCGTCCCAAAAAAATAAAGCGGACATAGTTGAGAATACAAATTTAAAATTTCGGTCTATCCCACAAAAAAGTTAGTGTTGGGCCAACATGCGGACTTGTTTAGGTTCATCTTAAGAAAAATAGAATGAACATAGTTAAGAGTGTATAATTAAAATCTTGATCGTCTCTAAAAAAAATAGAGTGGGGAACCAGCACACAAGCATGTTTAAGGTTGTCCCAAAAAAAACAGAAGCGGACATAGTTGAATTGAGAATGTAAACTTATAACATTGGTGCATCCTGCAAAAAAAAAAATAAAGTGGTGCCCGAATGCGGGCTTGTTTAGGTTCGTTCCAAAAATCGTTTCAAAAAAAAAAGAGCAAACATAATTGAGAGTGCAGTCTCTCAAAAAAATTAAGGTGAGACCAGCATCTAGTTTTGTACTTCTAAAAATTAAATGTTGTAAAAATTTTGTTAATGTCTGCGCTCGAAAAGAAAGGATGAAACAGATATATTAAAGGGTGTGCATTTAAAATCTTGTCCAACACCATGAAGAAACACGGGCAAAACTAACATTGTCCGGCCCGGCCGACCCGGTTTGCCAACCTTGTTTTTTAATGCATAAGCAATTTTGTCATTTAAATTGTAAATATATGTCAAATTAACAATTCTAATGTTGAAACTTTAACACATGAATCAAAACATTCACTTTGTTAAATTTAGGTGTTAAGCGACTTGACATGCTGTTGCTGAAAAAGCGTATAGATATTGTAAGATTGTTTTAATATTCTTTTTTTACAATGTAATGAGAGATCCACAAGCAAAAAATAAAAAATCCTGAGAATCGAGGTTAATGGCACCAGCTTCTGCAAAAAAGAGCCACATCCAATATACAAATTAAACTTTACAGTGAAAATAACTTCGACACAGGGAAAAAGAGGTTAGTTAACTATTAAGCATTGATATGTGTTGGACACCAGACACGCGTTGCTACACTGTTAGTAATTCAACAAGCTCAAAATTAATGACCAGTTACTTTTTCTTGGCCATCCATCTCTTTCTGGTTGCTTCCATTGCCTCCAGTTTCATTCTAGTGAGTTCCTCAAACCAATGCTGATATTGCGACTCAATTGCATCAAGTTCAAGCTTTAACTCGAGATCAATATCCTTTTGGGTGTAAGACATAGAAGAGCAACAGCTACCTAACAAGCTCATAATGTTTGGTGATCTCGAGTTCGCATTGCTTTTATTAACATTGTAATCTGTTGCCTGCGACTTACAGTCTTCGAAATACGTGTCCCCGGCCTCAAGCTCGGTTATCGGCCTTCTAAAGCATTTAAAACATCCAACACCGAGATATTTGGAATCATGACAATTGTCATTTTTCATCGAAGCATCATCAACAGTTATCTCAGAAGTTCCTGATCCATCTTCTGAGTCAATCAAACGAGGAGATGAATCAAAGGCACTCTCGAAAATGGTGTTATCGGCGTTTTTGTAAGAAAAGCTCTTTCCAGCTGTCTCAAAACCTTCTCTAGGCATTATATTAAACCCGGAAAAGCTGTCTTGACCACTAACTGTTTCGGAGGGAACATTAGTTGAGACTTGGCTATCGACATTTGTAGAACCACTATAAAGACTTATTTCTCCAACTGAGCTATGATCGTGCGACGGTTTCATCCAAGAAAGAAGCTTCATTATCAAGTAATCAATAAGGCCGGCTATGAAAGCCACGTCATGATCCGCCAGCTCCAAATGTTCAACCATCTCTGAGGCCACGGAGACGGCAGTATCTGTATCAAGGTAAAACAGAAAATGTATATTCCTTATTCGACCTGCAAGTAACACAACAAAAACCATTCAGGCCCAGCTCGGATAAACAACTTAGTTAATCGCTTATAACAGAAGTGTTTATCATACAAGAGCTTAATTCAAGAAAAGCCACATACTTACCACATGTATCAGCAATACGCAAGGTCAATGAAACCGAGTTATCATCATTTTTAGTCCCTTTTAACCGAAACTCGTTATTTTTATTAGTCCTTTGGACTTCAAAAACAGGATAGTGTAAGATTTCCTGGTTGCTTTCAGCATAGATACTCTCGGAAAACTGTTTGTAGTCAGCATCGATGTCCATAGATGGAGAACGAGACTTGGAAATATCTGTAGCACTTGGAGTTTTAATATGAGACGAGAATGGATCCTTTGGACTCTCAATTTGTAAAAATAGATCTTTAAGAAGCTCCTCCGCAGACAATCTCTCAGATGCTGGAACCAGGCATTTCTCGATAAACTCCTTAATTTCGGGGTCACTCACCTTATTAAGGGACGCGGGTTTGATGCCCTGCAATGGAATACATCATAATGAATCGAGATTCAAGATGCGATTCATGTCCAAAATAGATACAAACTAGAGATTCGTTTTAATTAGATTCAGTTTAGTATCAAATCAATATACGATTCGTATGAACTGTGAGATACTGATGATAACCATAATTGACAGCGGTATGTTGATGATTTCAATACTTACCGAGGTAACTTTCTTAAATATTTGAGCTGGGTTGTTGCATTCATTATAGGGATACTCGAGAGTAACCATCTCCAACATTGACATTCCAAAAGAATAGATGTCGACGAGTTCGTTGTACTCCTCTTCATATAATTCAGGGGCCATAAACTCAGGCGTCCCTTTTAAAAATAGAAATTTAAAAAAAAAACGTATCTCAGTATTCGTCATAGAATCAACGATAAAAACTTCACATTTTAGGAAAAGAAAATGTGTTACCAATAACACTCCGGGCAGTTGGCTGCTGCATGACGATTGCCAAACCGAGATCACCTATCTTAACTTCTCCTTGGTTTCCATTCACAAAGATGTTGTCGCATTTCAAGTCTCGGTGAATAATAGGTGGCTTGTGACTGTGAAGATATGCTAGGCCTTGAAGAATCTGTCTCGCCCAACATTTTATAGCTTTCATTTCAACGTATTTATGCTTCTTACGGTACCTGACAGTCAAAGGATCACAAGAGTTTCATGTGTACATTGCAGCGAAACGGCACAAAGGAAAGCAGTTAAAATCAAGAGAACATACTGTCTTAAGTTTCCAGATGTGAAGAGCTCGGTGATCATGTTAACAGTTTTCTGCTTATCGTCAATCCAGGAATCGTAGAACTTAATGATATTTTCATGTTTTAAAGCCTTCAATAGATGAACTTCGGAATACAATTTCGCAAGATCGTCTACTGAATGCAAGAGACCATTGATCCTAACTTGGTTCCAAGCAACTTCTATGCCATCAACTTCATCAAATGCCCTATAACTGCAAAAGGAATTGAGATTAAATCGCGTGATTTATCAACAAACAATTGTCACAACGCTACCAATTATCAAAGAAGACTGAACTTTCTAAATAAAATAGAGATAATGAACGGGAAAAAAAGTAAGCGTCAGAATCGTACACAGTCTTGAAGGCACCCCTGCCCAAGATTTCATTGTACTGAGAAAAAAACAAGAGGAAACAAAAGTCAAATTAAAAAAAAAAATTGAAAGAACAAGTGAAGTATAGAATCAGTGGACACCATGTTATTTGTATTTGGATATATTTATCGAAAAGTGAATTGAACAATCAATTTGAGGGTTAAAATCTGTTGTAGAAGCAAAAGTTCCAAATTCATGCTTCAAGTTAAATCAATTCTAACCGAGAAAATCCAAACATGAATCGGTTCTACACCTTTGAAATTGATTTTGCCTTGTCCAAAAGTGAAACCAAACATACACAAACTTTTTCCTTCAAATGTGACTTTTATACTTAAATTCACTGTTAAACTCATTTTCACATAAATGTATCCAAACATAAACGATTAATCTTAAACTCACTTTTAAGTTTTAACTAAAATCGAATTTACAAATTCAATTTTCACTATGTAGAACCAAACACAAGGCATATGATATGACACCACAATTTACATAACAACAACTAAACCTTGTCTCACTAAGTATGGTCGGCTACATGGATCAAACTATGCCATAATGTTCTATCAAAAACTATGTTTCTATCTAACTCGTTAATCTCAAGATTTTTTCCTAATAATTTCTCCTATGATTATTCAAGGTCATCCCCTACCTCTAGTTGTTTGACTACCCACCGTCTGATATAATATTCTTACTACAGAGTCCACAAGTCTTCTCTCTACATTATCAAACCATCTTTACATTCTGAAACCACCTAAGCCTGTTTTGCACCATCTTTTCTGCTAAGAGTCCTACCCAACACTCCTTCTAATATTCTCATTTCTAATCTTATCACGTCTAAGCTTACCACACATCCAACGCAACATCTTAATCTCTACTACATTTATTTTATTTCCGTGTTGGTTTTTACTGCCCAATATTCCGCCTCGTACAATATCGCTGGTCTTCCAGTGGTCTAATAGAATTTCCCCTTCAAATTGAGCGGTACTTTCATGTCATATAAAACACCTAAGAACTTCCTCCATTTCAAACAACCAGCTTGAATTCCAGGGTTTACACCACAATTTACACACATCAATCAAAATTGATAATAACCACACCAAAAAAAAAAAAAATGATAGTGTCAAAAGCATAGAAGTGAATCATGTTATGTGATGATATGCATACATACCCTTATGTACCTGCCGGATGGATCTTTCTCTACAAAATCCTCCTCAAAATCAAGAAGCTCCCTTGCTCTAAAAACATTATAAGTAGGATGCAATGCTAAAACAGACCCAGAATTCATTTCCATTTTCTAAATCAAAAACCCAACAAAAACAAAAAGTACAAGAACAAAATTTCAAACTATGTATTGGATGAGGTTCTATTTCTGACTAGAATGAAGAAACGTTGGAATTGAATGAAGAACAACAACAACAATAGATCGAATGCCGAATATTAAAATTGTATCGGCATTCGATGACAATGGCTAAAAGCAAAGAAAAAACATTGCAACCTCTAATGTCACAATAACAAAAAAAACATCCTCAGACAAAACCCCACATGCAAAAAATTCTGTCAAAATCCATTTTTTCATCATACCCAGGAATCGAAACCTCAAAAAGGTTCAAATTTTTCTACATGGGTCTCCCATTAATAAAATATAAAAAATTAAAGAAGGTGAAAAATTGTGGAAAAAATGAGAAATGGTGGTTGGTAAGGGCTGAGGAAGAGAGAGAAAATTAGAAAGGGTTGGTGCGAAAGAGAAGGTGGGAACAAACAAGTGTATGGTGAATCAAAAAGCGATTTTTTTAAGAGATTTTTGTTTGGGATGAATGTAAAGGTAAACGACAAGTTTGGATGATGAGGTTGCAACTTACAACTCAACTAACATAACCAATCGAAGCATTTCAATTACAGTTTTTTTATTTTTTTTATTTTTTTTATTTCAAACTTATAGCTTTTAGTTTATGAATTTTTTTATCATTTATATCTTTATCATTTTAATAAAAATATATTCTTACTTTTAAATGTGCTATATTTTATGTATATATTCGCGTCAATTTACAAGATTTACAAGATCAGAGATGATATAATGTTTAATATTTTTAAGTAACATTCAAATTATATAAAGAATTTTGAATTAGTGTTGATAATTCTTAGGTTAGTGAAATGTTAAAGAAAAATTAATGAGATTAATCAAGCCGAAAAAAATTTAGAATATCATTCCAATTTTATTGTAATACATTAGACAATAAATTTATTTTTATTATTATTTTGAATTTGAAATTCTGAGATTGGTACACACCATGCTCATACTGATGTTTCCAACATCAGAACATGATGTCTGGACAGATGTTACAACATCTGTATACAGACTGAATTAACAATATCAAACTGAAACAATATGTAGAATTTAAGTGCAGAATGATAAAGAACACATTCGATTTGTTAACCCAGATCGGTGCAAATTCACTACTCTATGGGCTATCAAGTCAGAAAGAAAATCTGTTATTAGTAGTATTAATTCGAAGCTTAAACAATCTTAGTTTACAACTTCTCGCTTAATCCCTTCCCAGTGCAACTTCTAACTAGGCACCTCCTAAATATGAGAAATCGTCATCTCACTTCCAATCACCGCAGTGATAAAATACCTGCCACAATCCTAGCGATAATCTACAAACCAGTTACAATCACAGTAACTAGTACAAGGATAAACTCAATAGAAGATTACACTTCCAATACAAATACTTAGTCAAGACTCTTGACTAAGGACAATACTAGTTGTTGCTTAAAAGCTTCTACCAAGAATAATACTCAATTTTTTGCTTAAAAGCTTAGAGGAGAACAATACCTAATTCATTACTTAAAGGTTTTTGAGTAAGAACACTATGTCTACCTTAATGTATCAATAGATACAAAGGGTGACTTACATCACAAGGAACACGAGAGACTCTCAAAACCTAAACCCTTATTTTTTAACTAAACAAAAATAAGAACTAATTTGCCATAGGTCTTGGCCTTCCTTTTATAAGCTTCAGTTATCCATGGGCTTCGAATTCTCTTCCCAATTATTCCTTGATCCATGTGTTTATTACTGCAAAGAATATCTCCTTAAATCTTGGAACAAATTTTCAAGTATCTTAAATTATCTCAACAACCAAATATAGAAACTTTAATGCTCATGGAGATTTGATTCACTTGTTCCAGATTACATCTTCTTGATATGCAAAAATAACTAAGATATATCCAAAAGGAATCTCAAAAAATCAAATTAAATCTGTCAAGAAAATACCAAACAACAACAGTTGTTGTACCAAACCAAGATGTCATGATATTATCTTCAACATCTGATTGAAAATTACATAACAACAAACCTGTTATACCAAACCATGTTTTGCCAAAACTTAGTCAATCACAAAACTATGGTACTAACAATCTCCCCCTTTGGCTAACTTTGTATATACTTTTTGTTGCACTTATCGACTCTTTATTGTTAATATCAGTTGAATAACCCTACTTTTTATTGTAAATACGTTTAGTTGCATTTCGAGTACATATTGTATCGTTTGATTATATATATATATATATATATATATATATATATATATATATATATATATATATATATATATATATATATATATATATATATATATATATATATATATATATATATATATATATATATATATATATATATATATATATATATATATTATAGGTATTTGTTGCATTATTGGAGCATTGAGGAATAAAGTCCAAATGGAGCTCCAAGACGTGCATTTGATCAATAAAGCAACAAAGCTCTAAGATGCATTTTTGGATCAATAAAGGAAGAAGGCCAAGATTGGAGGCCAGATGAATTTATGCAGTGGAAGCAACAAAAGTTGTTGAACTGTCATGCATCATCGGGCGAAATTCCTATCGACGAGCGACAGTGGACGAGAAGACCAATTTTGATGTTGCCTCTGCCTTGCTTCGCATCTAGGTCGCCAGGAGAAAATAAAGAGAGTCCTCGAGCAAAGCAGTATGTTGCCAGGCGACGTTAGATATTTGTTTCAGTTGAGGACGTGCCAAATCCTGGGCCAAGTGCATAAAAGGAATCTCCAGGTGATGCGTTTATGTCGTCGGACGATTCTCGCCGAACATAATTCTTTATACTTTCATTTTGTTTCATTTTGGGGGATGGATTTAAGGGTTATTTTTGTTCTCCCAATTTCATCAACCTCATTTTTGTAGTGGATTAGCTTAGATAACAACATTAGAGTTTTGCTTATGGATGATTGGAGGTGGATTTCTCATTGACCGGCACTGACAAACTAGAAGATTTATGGTTTATCTCTTCTCCTCTTTATGTATTTCTCTTTTGTTAGGTTTTGTATGTATATTTACTTTGAACTTGTGTATATTTGTCGCCCATGGCGTTATATAAAACTTGCTTTACAAATCTTTGTGGATTGTTGTCTTAGATTTTTGCTCTATGCTAGGGATTTGAGTTGTTATAGACATATACTGCTTAGATTCTTATCTAGGATGATTATCTGTTAGTTTCTGAACTCTAGAGATATATTTAGAGTTGACATCTACTTGGGTATCAGAGCTTAATTCCTTTGTATGGTTGTGATGTGCTGAGAGATTGTCAGTGTGATTACATAGTTGTCTTCTATGTTGTTAATGAGGTAGAGAGATCATTTCCTTGGTGATACAGTCGGTCTCTCGATTTGGGTTAGAAATGACTTAAGTTGTGAGTGATACGTAGTGACATTAATGAGTATTATTTGGTTGAATGTAACTGGTCAATAGATTTAAGTCTGTGATGAGTAGATTATATGCAGGCTTGATAAGTTCTTCTTTAGTTTTTTCTTTTGTTTACATTTATTTTTTGTTGATACTTTTCTTTTCAACCTATTTATCCCCAAACTCATTAACGAGTGATTTGTCGAACAACGATTCAATAACCAATCTCTGTGGACACGATACAATATAACCTAAATATCACCTAGTAAATTAATACTTTACTTTTTACTTACCACTATATACCGCAGCAACAATTGCATACAGAAGCAGTTAAAAACAGACATGCTTATTACTCCACATGTCACTCAGAACCACTTCTAGTCACAGAGAACAAATTCTCCCCCTAGTGAAAGAAGAAACTTTTTCTGAAGCACAGGAAAAAAACCTAAAAAATCACCAGACGAAAACTGAGGAAAAACCAAATGACTTGCATGAGCTATCCAAGTTCACACATCTGAGACTCATCTCCTTAGAACAACACATATGAGTTATCCAAGTTCACACATCTGAGGCACAAGAATCATAAGTCTCACACAACAGACAGGATGTCAGAACATTTTGTTTGACATCAACACTACTGGTTATTTTCAAAACATCTTCACCTTTTACCCTTATCAAATAACCTTCTGCACTCCTTTCTTCTTACGTAGAACTGTCTTTTCATCAATGCTTCAGAAGATTATATATCCCTCTTTGAGACAGAACTCCCATCCCTCTTGTCTTTTAGAAAATGAACCTCTTTAAATTTAGCAATATGTGAAGATTGGCTCATGTTTGAAACACAGTTTGTGATGAGGAAATTGAGAGTTGCTTTGCTTATAACAAGTGATTCTTTTAAAAAAGGTTACCTTGCTTGTAATGGGAAAAATTAGTCAATGGAAGCATTTTGGAGAAAAAGGAGTTATCATTATCTATCAATGCATCATTCATTATAGAAGAGAGACACTCTGATGTTTTTCTTCTTCTTTTCCCAAGCTTTGACTACTGGGAAATAAAACTCTAACTGACATAGTCTAGGCTAACCATAGTTGACTAGACAATAAATTTTTTACACGCCACTTATGTTGTTATTGACCCAACAATAGAACAATTTTACAAAAACACCCTTCAAGGTTTCAATCTAACTTGCATCCAAGAACTAACTAAGTCTGTCTCATAATATCATCCCAAAGATCCCAAGCTAAGGAGAATACCTTTGCTTGCAGCAAGATCACTGACATAACTAAGACCAGTATGAACGTGTTTTGTCAAGTCAAACTTGCAAACTTGATTACACAGACTGTAACCAACTTGCCATAGTACAATGTCATAACATCCTCTTTGACATTGTATGCAAAAAACTAAAGACCAGTAGTTTCCTTTAGCATTATACTTATCCTTAGTAAAGACTAGGATTCAAACTAAACTTGGTTGATTCAAGAGACAAGATTGCTTTCCCAGGATACTCATCCCCTATTAACACTAACATCACCAGATTTGTCTTTGTAAATTTATAGGGTGCCCAACTTTACT